GCTCCTAGACTCGGACGCCCTCTACACAAATTTAGCCTGGGTCCATAATACACTGGAAACTCATGCGAATCGACATTCAGTATACCGAGTGTGAAGGAAACCAATCTATCACTACGTACCTGAAGACTTATGTCCATGCTATTATGGGTAGGCGCCCTAAGGCAACAGAGCGCTTGCAATATACAGACAACCCTGCACAACATAGAAAAACTACAATAACGCCTCTAAGCAGTTTAGGTTGGCTTGTATGAACGGGTTTTTCAACCACCGCCATGGAATTCGAAAGCCCGCACATTCTAAAACTACAGCACAAACCCACACGCATTTTACATTAATCTCTACCCGAATATGAAAGCGGTAAATACGAGATATATATGAGACTTGTTTCATTTAGTATTGTCGTCGTTGTTGTTATTCAGAGTTTTCAGTGTTTTACATGTCTAAACGTGTCCTGCCTAATGCCAACCTCAATGCAATATTCCAATTGTACGGCAGCGGTCTGTAAATAATCGGGTCTGGTTCACAAAAACATTTCATATTTCAAGCTAACATCGTAAGGTGACGATGACATGAAATCGCAAGATCAGAAGCCGTGACCACCCAGTCACTTCGTCCTACAGGCAAAATGTGCGAGGGATCATTTCCATCCCGGATTCTCAAAGGAGGGTGTGACAGAATCCAAAAGACGCTTAAAGTATTAGTTAACGGTGAATCACCGAGGAGTAATTTACAGTAGTATTCCTTGGACGAGGTACGACATGATACCATGGAATGATGTAACGAATCAGGAATATCGTATCAGGACATGTGACAAGGGCGGAGCAGGCTCGAACACCTTAAAAAGATACCGACTGTACTAGCAAAGTGGTGCGGGTTTCAACAGAACGTTCGCATCGCGATCGTTGCAGTTCCACGTTTGGTAAAGAGCTTGTCCTGTCCTGTCCAGTCCGAGTCACCTTGTAAAGAAGAGAGGGATTGAGTATAGAACCTGGACAGACTGTTGGTTTAATTATTGCATGAATGTATCCTAGTACATGAATGCAATGTTGTTACTTAGGAATCACGGTCGTCCGACCTCTCACTCCTTGACTTAACATCCCCTGACGGAAAAAGCGAGTGTAGAACTTGAGCTTACATCTCTCCTGAACAATGTGGAATGGCTATATTAATAGGTAACTGTGGTGTGGTCTACTGACACCCAATCGGCAGTTACGACACTAAGTAATGCATAAACACTATAGCAAAAAGCTATATTTTTCTTCGTCTATTTAAACTTAAAAGTTATGTTGTGACCACCAATATTAATTTGGCAATACGATAGAATTGTTTCAAAAGTGTGTGACGTCGTGTATATTTAAGAGTTCGATTGCATTAAGCAAACACAAATACGTGTCTCTGCGTTGGAAATAGAGATGGATTTATGTGGTTTATAGGAAAATGAAGCAATATATATATACGTTATACTGGTCTTCACGTGAAACCTGGATCATGTGTTGTATAAGGAGTTAGAACAGCCCTAACCATCTCAAGCATCTCATCGTTTCTGTTCATGGAAAGTATTGTCTTAGCATGTAATCAAGTAGAAATCAAGACATGAAACATGGTGAAATATTTTTATTAAAGTATAAGGAAAAATATACAATTTTTTCTAATATATATTTTATTTAAGAAAACATGAAAACGAAGTGGTGGATAATATCACATCTCTACAACTTGCTTACAAGATAGAAAACAACAAAAGCGAAAGGATTGACAATGTTAAAACAACACACGGTTTATCACGATATTGAATATTACAGTGTCAATTTCTTTACAAAGAATTAAGTTCTTAACAATTTTTCGTAATATATGTTTATTTACAACAGTCTGGTTTTGAAGATATGAAGCACTTAAACAGAGCACTCGCTTATGCCGAACAACGAATTCTTCACATGATTCTCTATATTCCTCTAATATATACAGATAGATATAAACGAGTCTTTTTCTTTGCATTTTAACCAGTAAACAGTGTCCTAATGTGATAATTATGTCTCCTCGGGAGGAATGATCCATTGTAAATTTCTGAGAGCTGTGCTCGACTAATTTTCAGGTGAGTAAAGTTTATGACAGGTTAGCATGGCAATGAACAAGGACAGAATCTGCGTAGATGATGACAGTGAAATGTTCTTGTCATTTAGTTATGGAAAGAAGATGCTTATGTAAGCATTAGTCAGATACAAAGACATTCTTTACGAATCCGTTAATACGATTTTGTTCATCGGATAATCATTGAATGCCATCATGTATTAGTTGTCTGATTTTTACTCATGTGTCTGATAAGACATTCACATGCATTAATCACATATGTGCCACATACATTCAGGTGCATTGTCATGTGGTTTGACAAAACAGCTGGGTGCCGTCGTACAAAGCAGTCTTGGCGCTAAGGTGACCGTTACTCACATACCTTAACACAGGTAGTCTTAACGCTGAGGTTGTTTTGTACAACAACACCCAAGCTCGCATTCTGATATGTAAGATTCTGATGGTCAATATTGCAATGGTGTATATACACTGCGTCCCTCCACCATCACATTCATTTGGAATTGAAGGCATTCTAAACGGCCTATATTATAGAACGCAACACAGGTGTGCGTCACTACCACAGTGCTAAGTATGTATTCCTGGGATATGGTAACATGCACGGTGTGTACAAACCGTGAACTCTATGTTGACATGCTAAGACATACCACCAGCGAGACACAGTACAATGAACTATATACAGCTGCCTCCTTGTACGCTTTGATTATCATCTCATTCAAGATTAGAATATTGACTTTGACAAGATACAATCTTTTTGCGTTCTTTGCGTAAAAAGCCGCAGTAGAGAACGCAGCATTGCAGAAATAGGGACGTTGTGTCATTGCAAGGTTTATAAATATTACATGAGTATATAACCTTATGTCCATGTGTCAGAAAATAATTCCTTTTGAGTATCAATAGTACGAAACCGAAGTAAAAACACCAAACAAATGTTCGTCAAAAGGGTAGGTGCACTTTACGGAAGTTTCAATATCTTACAAGAATCTGTCTCGTGGGGATAATTATTACATCATTTTCGTTAACACCAAAGTCTTCTTACACCACAACTTGCGCAGTTCACATGATATCAGTGGAATCAGTGATGGTTTTGTTGACAGAGGCGTACAGCTCCTCCAGGCCTTTGGTAGCCTGATAATCCTGAGTGTCTGCGTCGCTAACCGTCGGGGTGACGGACTTGCCGGTGCTGTTCGTGGCGTGGTAGAGGATGTTGTCGAAGGCGTAGCCGTCTCCATCCTGTTTCTCTGTCATCTCAGTGTCTGGGCTCTCGCGACCTCTCAGCATCTCTTCGTCAGACTTCTCTGACCGGTTCCTGAATTGTGAAGCACAGTCTATCAGAAACGAAAGTCGACAAATGGTTCTTGTTATAGAATACTTAGCCAGTGTCATCAGAAGATTCCCATCCAAGATTTCTTCGTAATTATAAACCTGTATATCTCCCACATACCTCTGGTGGAGGGTTTCACCAAAGTGATAAACCAATACATGGGACAAAGTGACCACAAATAAACAGTATTACAATAGTGTTGAAAGTGACCTTGAAACAAACCAACTGACCCATTCCCACGTTGAAGTACTTTAACGTTCAGTATACTCTAAACAATTTAATTCTGAACATGCATACAAAGCTACATTTATTTAAGCTGTGTTTAAAAAAATATAGAAGGCAAATCCGTGCAAAATGATAATCGTTGTGCCGCCATTTTCGTTTTGAACAAAAATCCCAAAGCTCACTGTTCACCTGTGCGTTCATAATACATAACTGATGAAGTTGTGTCAGGTTTATCATCATCTGTATACCTCTAGTGGACCCTACAGTTACATATTATGTAGACTGACTGACTGACTGAGTTTGGTTTTACACCGCTTTTAGCAATATCCCAGCAATATCACGGCTGGGGACAACAGAAATGGGCTTCACTCAGTGTACCCATGTGGGGATTCGAACCCGGGTCTTCGGCGTGACGAGCCAACGCTTTAACCACTAGACTACCCCACCGCCCCACATATCATGTAGAAGTGTAGTAGTATGGAACAAAACGTGCAAGTGTTAGATGAATGAGAGATGGGCACAATCAATCTAAGCCACCAAAGGACAGGCTGGAGCTCTGACCAACAGGAGTATTTATTCTCTGTTACAATACTGACCCACACTAGTACTATTTGGTTGATTTAATAATTTTTCGTATATTCATACGAGCACCAGAATCTCACGTCGCTTGTACAATTCCGACCATGTCATGATTATGTGCTTTCACTGAGAGAGATGATACAAACGTGGGAATTGGGGTCGCCGTTATGCAAATATATGCAGGGGCAAGCTAATTGTTCACCCAATCAAACATGAAGTCGAAGTAGGGACATAATTTGGTCAACAATGCCACAAGTTTGGATATGTCCTCCACGTGTCTACATTCTGAAAGTTAAAGACCCGTGAAGATCCGGGGTAGAATAGGTCTTCACCAACCCATGCTTGCCACAAAAGGCGACTATGCTTGTCGTAAGAGGCGACAAACGGGATCGGATGGTCAGGCTCGCTGACTTGGTTGACACATGTCATCGGTTCTCAGTTGCGCAGATCGATGCTCATGCTGTTGATCACTGGATTGTCTGGTCCAGACTGGATTATTTACAGACCGCCGCCATATAGCTGGAATATTGCTGAGTGCGGCGTAAAACTAAACTCACTCACTCACTCACTCTGAAAGTTAAATATATATGTGTATCGTACCTGCTCGTGCAGCAAGTGACTATGATGATCAACAAAATGATGACGACGATGCCAGCAGCCACTCCACCAGCAACCTCAGGCACTGCAACATATGTGGGATTCCGTATGACACCAAATGTCAGAAAAGGAAACGCTTACAAATTCTTTTTTTTCAATGCGTTTTATGGATGTCATTTTTAAACTGAAGTGTTTAGAATTTATTAATATTAAAATACGCTTGTGATGACGGTGCCTGTGTGACTGGGGGGGCTTGTGTTGTCGGTGTTGTGGGCCCCTGTGTGACTGGGGCTTGTGTTGTCGGTCCCTGTGTGATTGGGGCTTGTGTTGTCGGTCCCTGTGTGATTGGGGCTTGTGTTGTCGGTCCCTGTGTGACTGGGGCTTGTGTTGTCGGTCCCTGTGTGACTGGGGCTTGTGTTGTCGGTCCCTGTGTGACTGGGGCTTGTGTTGTCGGTCCCTGTGTGATTGGGGCTTGTGTTGTCGGTCCCTGTGTGACTGGGGCTTGTGTCGTCGGTCCCTGTGTGATTGGTGCTTGTGTTGTCGGCCTCTGTGTGGTTGGTACTGGCGCAATCGTTGTGGCGATTTGTATCTTTGGTGAACACGTTATTGTTATCGTTGACCCTATCGGTTATAAATAACCATTTAACAACAGATACATGAACATAGTAATTTGACCAACATAGTAATCCTCTATGTTTCCATAACAATGACATTTGTAATGGTTTGGTAACATTATCGCCATGGTAGAGTTATCATCATGATACTATTCTTGGCGATTATTTTGTGTCACTGGCTTGTGTCTAGCTACAAGGTTGTACTAAATGCTAAGCCCATCGCTGCATAGTAATTCTATCCCTCAAAGAGGCAAGTCTAGATAAGGGGACATTGTTTATATCTTTTTCGAACTTTTCATTGAACCTTAGAGACTTGTGCAAATCTAGCTTGAGTCTAACAATTTGTGTAATTTAAGAAACGGGATAATCATGAAAGGAATAGTAATACTGAAGAGCCAGTACCCGTGGCAAAGGTGCGCATCATGACACAGGCGTCGATGGTTCCCGGACCTGTCATGTTGTACATGACATCAGTGTTTGCCGCCACATTGCCGGTGTACGCTTTATCCTGCAGGCAGTGTACGCTGTAGATGTTGGAGTATTGGCTTGGCATCTGTTTATACACATCCACTCGTACTGAACAGCTACTGAAGGTTGAGCCCCTAACAGCATATATCTCCACCTGTCCACCACTGGACTGAGTAGCGGTACAGGAACATAGCTCATTGCCCTGGATGGTGGTGCTGGCGTCGATGTAGAGGATACTCCCCGTTGTTGTTCCGCTCTGACACATCTGGATGACTACAATACAAAAACATCTAAAAGCGGCGTAAAGCCAAACTCAGTCAGTCAGTCAGATAAAAGTGCACACCCTTTTCTTTTAAGCAAACGATCTAGACCTCTGAAGGCCTGGTCTATCATCACTATATCATTTATATGTGTTTATTAATCACTGTCAAGCAGCTTTGATGATGCCAGATGTTCCCGTACATGGGTCCATATTCTGCGACAGCGTTGGCACAGGTAGCAAACACTCGCAAAGACTAGTCAATTGTTCCCTTAACAAACAATTTAAGAAAGTCAAAATAGGGAATTGCATCCGAAATCATTGTTGTCACTGATACGATAATTTGGAAGTGACAAAATATGGAAATAGGTGAATTCTATCTCCATGAAACCTCTTACAGGACATCGACATCCATGCAAGGAGAGAGGGAGAAAGGAGGAGTCTAGAAAGAGAGAGGTTACCACGCGAGTGTATTTTGGGGGGATAAATATCCTGTTTGAGGAATGAACATTTTGTGTAGCATGTCGTGAACCAATGCCGGATTTCAACCTTCCCATACGCAGGTGTAGGTAATCTTTTTCTCGGATGTTAGCGTTCCTAAATTCTGACATCAAAATGCCTTTTCTCATCTCTCACAAACATTAACCAAGCATTGCAGGTTTCCTGGAATGGGCACATTGATGTACATACTACGTCAGTAGGTTTGTGATGTGTCTATCGGGTGTTAACAAACGTCAATTAAGTTCAAACTGAAACTTGTTTATTGGAGGGCGGTATACTATAATATAGGCATAATAGAAAAGTTTAATACTTTATGGATAACATAGGCACAATAACAAACGTCTACATGCACTTCTGTTGGACTTAAGTGGCATTCTATCGGTCTGCCCGCTAGAGTAACTTCCCTATATTAAAGGGAGGTTTCTTTTACCGAGGCTAACCCGTGCAGATCCAGGTTAGAATTGGTCTTCAGTAACCCATGCTTGTCGTAAGAGGCGACTAACGGGTTCGGGTGGTCAGGCTCGCTGACTGGGTTGACACATGTCATTGTATCCCAATTGCGTAGATCGATGCACATGCTGTTGATTCCTGGATTGTTTGGTCCAGACTGGATTATTTACAGACCGCCGCCATATAGCTGGAATATTGCTGAATGCGGCGTAAAACTCAGCTCACTCACTCACTTACCCAGTCTATGAGACATAATATTTGTCGGCGTGGTCGATCATCTGATGTGCATAGCGTAACAAAATGCAGGCAGATGAACACATAGCAACAAAATGAAACAAGGTTACAATTCGGAAGCATTTCGGCCACATCCAGTTGTTTTGAATTTGTAAAAAATGAGCGTCGATGGTCTACAGTCACAGATATAGAAACTCATTCTAGATCTGTGCATGTGTCCTCGCTACACCGTTTCGCAATTTCTATCTCCTAATCATAAACATTCTCAGCTACGTCCCAGTTATAAACTGGTTTTCAGTATCGGGGACCACTGGTTTGATAATACTGACAATGTTCCCATATTCCGGATGGTTAAGTCTCTTTTGCCAAGGGCAACACCACGTTTGTTCGTAAAAACTGGCAGTTGATTCTACCCGCCCTTCTGACCTTTTTCTCACTTGCATCTTCTCCGTATTTTGACCCGAACGGATATTATTTTTATCCTGCCAAGAGACCTTTCCATGTATTGTATCTGAACAAACAATTGTAATTTGTACGTAAATATCCTTTTGCCTAAGTGGCAGTTAGGCCACTGTCTAAAAATGGATTCACTCGGAACGTGTCCGACTGAGTGGGTGAGTTAAAATTTACATTCACTTTGGCAATATTTCAACCATATCGTGACTAAATCAAGTTATAGAGTAATAATAATTAAAGGTAGATATTTTAAATATGTCAACGCGAAGGACAGTAAAACAACTATAATATCACAGATATAAATTCAAAACTAGTAATTAAATCTAAAACATTTTAACTATAGAGGACATCACAATATAAAAACAGGCTATAGATTGCCAACAACTGAAATTAGATCACCATACTAGGGGCCATGGGGACTTACAGTACCTTTGCAGCCTGCATGGTCCCTAGCTGGGTTTACACCATCATATGTTAGCAATTTTTTACAATGTAGCCATAAATAAAATAACATATATGCTGCGGTTAAAAATAGTAGTACGTTTAAATTTACGATAATTGTTTGGGGGACTTGCGTACCCTCTCGGGAGGACAATACTTTTACAATACTTTAACCCCCATCGAGGATACAGCCACTAACAATATCGGTTGTTAATTAAACTACTAATCATAAAACATTTATCTATTTACGCAACTGTAATAGAAATTTATCTAACAACTCTATTTCTTTTAAAAAGTCATAGTTAAATGATAATTAACATTAGTGAAAAAACGGGTTCTATTCCCCACATGGGTACGGTGTGTGGGACCCGTTTCTGCTGTCACACAAAAATATCTCTATAAAAAATGTGATTAGAATTCGAACAACAGAGCTTTTCGCTGGTCTGATCTCTGAGTCATTTCGGAAACTGCAATATGCTAACCAGTTGCTTTTCACTCCTTGTTTTGTCCACTCCGTCATTTTGTCCACAAAAGCAATGTATTTCTTATTCTGAAAAGGTGCAGACATAAACAACATCTTAAATGTTATGCACGGTGAACGAAAACACACATCTGAACGCCAAAACATATGTTAATTCAAGTAAAACAGGGAAAAAGACAAGGTATTCAGCAGCAAATGTTATTCATTCTAAACAAAAAACAATGGCTACACTAATTTCTAAAAGCCAGTGCATGGAACACAATGCAAAATGCAACAGAAGAATCAGAGCAACAGCACGTCTTCCTTCCTGCAATATACGTGTAATGTTTGCTCTTCAACGAAATATGTTAATAGCAACTTACCATCAGAACCGCTCGTCGCACAGGCGCCTGGAACACAAAAACATAATCCTTTAATATCTTCAATAAAACCATGTCACTCTTATATAATCACTAAACTATACCAAAACATTATAGTAATATAGACAATAAGCATACACGTCAACCTATTGACGAAGCAACTGTAATTCAGTTACTGATAATAACAAAGTGATGCATTACGTGTGTGATGGAGATTGTTTTATGAGGCTGTTAATAATGTCACCCAACAAGGCTGTGTACCACTGTGTAACTGTGGGCTTTAATCATTTTACCCAAGAAGAGAAGCGAACCCGGATCTTGAGGTTGCCGAGCCATTTCTTGAAAAATAAGGACATATCTTCGCCCTCAGTGAGTGACGTGAACATTTTGTTTCATTAAGAAATTATAAGTAAAAGTAAATTGTGTTTCATATTTACTGGTAATGTTATGCATGTGGGTGGAAGCCACACTATTTCGTATCAATTCAGAATGTTTGAGAATTGTTCAATCATTATTGATAAAATTAGGGCAATCAGTTTTAATATTCCCATAACACGCTTTAATTGAACATCATTACCAGCAAATTCATCTTCATTTGCTTATTAAAAACTGAGCAGAATAAATATGCATTCAAAATGCATATATTCGTTGTTCATATTTAAAAGAATATGTTGACAGTGCAGTCGACGAGACATGTAATATAATCCAGAAACGGGTACGATGTATCGCTGAATAATGTGCGCATTTAAATGGCAAACCGGTCTCTCCAGATAGGCCTCAATCACACCAAACCAGTTTTTCAGGCTGGTTATTGCATAACATGTACCTCAAATCGGCCCAAACCACCAATCCGGAGTCTACTTTAAGTACTTCAAACCAGACTTGAACAAACACAGCTACATTTATGGGCACTGGGCGTAATCTGACCCCATCCATGTTCTAAATGATCAACTTTATTGTGCGTTCTATTCAATGTGTAGAAGATAGTTTATAAACAGAGATCTCCGTATCCCATGTCCAACTTGATTTAGGGGAAAACGTATGACCTATATTTCCTTATACTTGAGGACTGTGTTTATCCAAGTGCATCGAAGCGAGGACGGGTACAATAATCACTATGTTCCTCATTCAGCGTAACAAAGGTGTTGGCAGCTTCAGCCACGATGAGGGCATTTTATTTCAAATATCAATTAAAAATTAAGTGTCTATTATACAAACACACCCGTTTTGTAATGTTAAATATGTACACATCACATTCTATAAACTAACTTTATATAGTCATGATGGATGTGAATTCCTTGTACCAAATGATCTTATAGTCCAAATTTAAATCACTTTCATGATACTTTAATGCATAAAATCATAATATAGTTTCTAAAGTACATGATTAGTGTCATGTGACGATGATATATTTTTATTGTAAATACTCTGTTCAAAACAAGACGATATAACCAGTGATCTATAACTGAGTTCGGTTTTTATAATTGATTAATTAATTAATTTTTATAATTATTTAGCGAGCTAAACCAATGAGTGATCGTAATATCTTTCATACCTTCCTCATTAGGGTTTCTGGCATTTCACAAGTTTCTTTGAGAGTGATTGTTGTCCAAACGTCCCAACAGCCTAAAATCGAATAACCTGCATTGCCTTTATCTATGATCCTGGTGGATCATTTTGCATGTAGCTGGTGTTCGTCATTTTGATTCAAAATGATAAATATTCTGTTACCTGAAGTATCGATATTTGTTGCAGTTTTATCTGATTTCTTTCCTATGCAGATAAACTACTTCCAGCTCGGCTTTTCATTGCTGCTGGCGCAAGTTTGAACCTATTGTAAAAGCTATTATCTGCCATTTTACAATAAACCCAATCAGTGTGAACCCCCTCGTTATGGTCCCCAGCAACCAATGTTTGTCTTAAGAGGTGACGTAAGAGATCTGTTTTTTATGATGTGTGACGTAAGTCATTGCGTATCAACGCCCGACGGCATGGCTAGATCGTGTACAGGCGTAAATGGCTGGGTTTAGCAATATACAGCACCCAAACAAACAAAACGAAACTTCATATGTCTAAACTCGTTGCATTCTATACGGCTATCGATTCAGCTACCTCAAGAGCTTGGTAAAGTAGTTGAGATTTCATAAACTAGAAGTATTTCTCACGAGGAATATATTCCCACGACACCTTACATTTCCATGGAAAATCTTTGAATGACACATAATAGTGTTAAATAAAGTGTATACCTCAGTGACCTGACCGTTCGGCGTTGTTTGTTATACAGGAATACATAATCGTATTTCATTTTCTATGTTAAACATGTATACGTTAAGTGTTAGGACGTATGAACGTGTCAGTGAAGTGTGGTATATTACAGTCCAATTATGGATGCAATATGTGAACCCTTATACAAACGGACTGATGTCTTCAGTTCAGGACATAAATGTATATTGTATTAATATCACATCATGTCATATTTTCTATCATTTTGGTATATATCTATACTGTATTGGCAAGTTTTAATGTCTTAATTTACTTTTATATTTATAAGTATATTGTAATGAAAAGTTATGCTATCTCTATTTTGTTGTATGCATTTATATATAGATTTATGTTATCAGTTATGATAACTTCATATAATTCTATAATTTAGCTATATATCTACATTGTATTAACTAGTTATGATGTCTTCCTTTTGTTGTATAATTCAGATATATATATATATATATTATATATATATATATATCTGCATTGTATTAACAGCTTATGATGTCTTCATTTTGTTGTATAATTCAGATATATATCTGCATTGTATTAACAACTTATAACGTCTTCATTTTGTTCTATAATTCAGATATATATATCTACATTGTATTAACTAGTTATGATGTCTTCATTTGTTCTATGACTTTGATGTGTCAATATATATTGTATTAACAAGTCATGATGTATGGACTTTAGCTCTGTGATTATAATATTTTCTAAATTTGTTTTACAGCGAGAAGTTACGTTGTTTCACATGAGGGGACGCAGTTTAGACTAAGTCTACAACACTCCATTGATTGTCGTTAAGTACAGCTGACTGAATCTTATCAGGCAGTCAGGCATGGTGACATGGTTCATTGCCTGCCTTTCTACATCGTGGACTGTTCATCATATGATATCAACAATGTCTGACATTGGACGTCGTGGTATAAATTAGCGTGATATACGTGATATATATAGCAGCAATACTGCTGACTGCATTCACTCACCCGAGGTGATGTTTGCATTCATGATACATAGATACGAACAGGGACACCCCTAAGGCTGTGGCCTTTTCGTCAGAGACAATGAGAATTCGGTTTCATGGCAAGTCATAAATCTGTCGTTTCATTCTTTATTGCCAATCAACAAAATAAATCAGTATCGAATATCTGCCGAAACCGATTCCTAATGTCGTAAAAGGTAAAATGTTGATGAAAGTTATGTGAATTGACAACCCAAATCAGTGAAGACCCTGATAAATTCTTGTGGATGTCCACCCTGCACGTTCTGACACTGACTTACTATGTCTGTGATTAGCAAGCCTTAATTCAGTGGACATATAAACCAATGTGTCTTTCGAGGCAATAAGAAGATAATCTCCTATAAAACTGACGCAACTGATAAATGACAACGATTTAAGAAGGAACCGATGGTGTATAAAAAGAGTAAATCACGACTGGAAAATCGAAATCAAACCTTATGTCGTATATTTTGGAAACGAGGGTGCTATCAAATACAAGGTACGAGCGATATCATTGTTCATCGTTGAAGGCAGATATGGTGTGGGGCAAACATTCCCAACCACCAGCGACAGAGTACAGCCATCGATATGCAGCCACTATTGTCCAGCACTTTAATTGTAGCGATAGACAATACAATCAATACATACACCCGTGGAGGAAATGGATTGTCACATGATAATGGTATTTGACCCTTGATATGTTGTGTCAAGCCATACCTCCCGGTGCCCTCGGATCAATGCCAAGTAATTTCCGTTGATGCAAACAATATCACGTACATAATAGATACCTCTTTTGTTACATTCAATATGTTCATTGAAAGATCTTAGTTGTCCATTGGTTGGTTTTCAGGAAATATTGCGCACTAAATATATTGTAAAATAGTTTGGGCCTGCACCAGACAATCCAGTGTTCAACAGCAAGAGCATCGACCTACGCAATTGGGACACGATGACACGTGTCAAGCGAGTCTGACCACCCGATCCCGTTAGTCACTTCTTACAAGTATGGGTTGCTGAAGACCAATTCTAACCAGGATGTTCACGGGTCTTAGTAGATACTTTTAAACTTTAACATACGATGTAAAATTAATAATTGTACAAGAACTCACAAACGCGACGTGAATAACACACAGAAATATAAGGTGTGATTTAGTGTGCTTTCCGTTCTTTTGTAGCAATATTTCAACCCGATCACGCCGGAGGATTCCAGAAATGGGTTTTACACATTGACCCGTCGTTCACAACTTTATGTATGTTACCTCAATACCCCCAGTGAACAATGGCAAAGTAATCAAATAATGATGATAATAATATTTCGAGAGGCTCGTCATTGATTGTGTTTTACATTCAGTGACAGTGTATAAGTCTAAGTGTAAGCATTAGCTGATGTCTGTTATAAAACGACAATATGGATAGATAAGATTGTAGATCTAAAGTAATGCCTTCTTGCGCAGCACGTTTGTCTCAAGAAAACACTTTTCCCATGTTCCATTTCTTCGATAATGTTGCATCTGCTGAAGCAGTTTGTGGTTGACTCTCATAAAATATTAATGTGTCCTCCTCTCTCTGTCTGTGTGTGTGTGTGTGTGAGTGAGTGAGTGAGTTAATATTTAACGTCACATCGGCAATATCTCAGCCATATCGTGACGAAAACAATTTCTACAATAAAAAGTGAAAATATTTTGAAGATTAAAACCTGTCGACGATGGACAGTAAAAATACTAGATAATCACAGATATAATATAAAACTAGCGAACAAAGCTAAAACATTCCAATTAAAGAAGACAATACAATATAAAACACGGGCTATAGATCGCCAACAACTGAAGGTAGATCACCAAACTATGAACCATTGGGAATTACATTACTTTTGCTACCTGCATGGAGCCTAGCTGGATTTACAACATCCCTTCAGCCGCTGGCGAGTGTAGGATAATTTAGCCGAAATTTAAAAGAACACAAATACTACGTTTAAAAACTTGGTACAAGAAAATTTCACTTTGAAGTTTTTTGGGACTTACGTACCCTCTCAGGAGGACAATAATTTTACGCTACTTCAACCCTCTTTGAGGATACAGCCACTAACAATCCAAGTTGATAATCTGAACTACCAATTATAAAACTTTATCTATTTACAAAACATATATCAAAATTCATTTAACAAATCTATCTCTTTTAAAAAATCAATGATTAAACGATAATTAACTTTATTAAAAGGTGTGTGTGTGTGTGTGTGTATTTGTTTGTTGGTCTGTTTTTAATCTAAGGAGTCTCGGATAAAAACCAACCATTTTTCAAGCAAGCGTGGGCTGGCACCATATGTAGTAGCCAATCAAAATGTAACATGGATACAGAAAGTTTCATTATTTGTCCCATGATTGCCCTAAATATACGATCAACGTACAGAAATACGTTCTCTCTTTCATCCTTAAATCTAAGACCAATATATTGAACTTTGATTCCGCATCCTGTTGCCAATGAGTACTACTCAGGCTGCAATGTGCACACGTATGATGCGCCGTGGTACTGACGTACAATACGTTACCTCCGCGGTACTCTCTTTGAAAGATTGAAGTAATACTTCCTTGCCGTTCCAGTATCTGCTACACAGCTGAGATAGGTAATCCGAAAATTACAAGCTGTCAAATTTAATTAAGCACATTTAAGATAACAAGAGCATCTATATAAACGTATATCTTCAAAAGGAACAGTCTCTGTGTTCAAAATTTGGATTGGGGCCATTTTCAGGAAGATTACACTGTGAAAGCAACATATTTCTTTACATACGTTCAGTTCAACATCAACTAAAAATCTGCCTAAAGGGAAGAAGATTTCATGTTCACCTGAACGTAATGTTACTGAATGGTTTGTCTGAAGGGAAGAAGATCAATGCCAGTGTGTGCCTCTGGGTACTACATGTTAGCATGAACGTTGGATGTGTCTGAATCTTAGGAAATTTTACTTTGCGAGAAATGTGCAGAAACTAAATGACTTTTGTGTTCACAGGATGTCAACTTACAAAGCAAGCATTTCCCGTTTATTAAATGTGCATTGATTTATTATGGCAGTTCAGAGATCGTAAGGTATAATGACAACTGCCTTATGAGGACTATTAGTTAAGTCAAGTTTCCATTCTGTTACGATTATATTTTGTTTTTGGGAGGTGCCATTATAGGTTCCAAGTGTACACAAGTACTGATGTATTATACACATAATCAACACCTTCATTCTGTGTTCGCTTGCTCATATGTCAAGTTGAGAGTTAATATTTTCAGGTATTTAACCCTTTGGGTCTTAAATTTAACTAAGAAGAGTTGCTTTTAAAAAGCCTATAGTTTGCCAGGGGGTATATTGTCCAGTAAGTATTACATACACCCTCTAAAGCAGCAACCTGTTCGTACCACGGTTTTATGAATCTGTCATTGCACATATGATTCCAAATTTGAGTGGTTCGCTGATTGGGGGGACCCTAAATGTCAACCACTTGTTTACAATAACGGGAATACATTAAAGCAATAGCATAGTCTTCTTATATGGACTCCCTGGTTAAACGTAACTGTATATATGACTATCACATTTTCATATAGTACAATGATTTGACTCAATTCCACGCAATATGTTCGCACGTACATACCGTCATTTACAGAACGTTTAGTCTGACACTTCAATTTATTAAGAATCATACTCATTTATGGAAGATTGGTTCATTTAGGTCTGTAGCAAGACATTCCTTGTCTATTTGTGAGAGTGTCTTTGTGGCTCGAATTGGATACATGTGTCAGCAACGGTTTGCATGATCAAGGGACTATGATACAGGCACTCGCGATATGACTGGAATATTGCTGAATACCCACACTTGACAGCCGCAAAGACATGTTATGGAGATGTGTACCCTTAAAGTTATTTAGCCTCATGCCTCTATCTCACACATAAAAGGGGCGATGGGGTAGCCTAGTGGTTAAAGCGTTGGCTCGTCACGCCGAAGACCCGGGTTCGATTCCCCACATGGGCACAATGTGTTAAGCCCATTTCTGGTGTCCCCCGCCGTGATATTGCTGGAATATTGCTAAAAGCGGCGTAAAACTAAACTCAGTCAGTCAGTCAGTCACACATAAAATATGAACAATTTGAGACATTTTAGATTTGTTTCATTTGCAACAATAACAGCATTTTATCAGAACGAAGATCTAGTCATTTTGCAGGCCATGATCTGCGCAGCTGCATCTAACATTTCACAAATCGTTTTATTCATTCCTTTTCCGAAAATTTCTAAACCGGACTACTACTGGTATAAGAATGCGATGCACAATGTCACGGGTCATAACTCCAGGGTCATTCACCGTCTGGCCGAAATTGTGTAACAAAGGCGATTACTACTTGCACGTATTGTGTCTGGACGACTTTCGACATATCGCCTACGTGGCAATGCCCCAACAAGTCGTTTCTCACATTCGTCAGAATAGGTGATGTGTACGGTTGTTTGTGTCATTTAGTTACATAATCTCTAATCCATGCCCTGGACATAACCAGGGAGTGTTATGCTCTCCTCTGTGAGGGAAAACATGTTGCTTTGGCCTTGCTGTAATTGCGCAGCACATGCTAACATCATGGCCAGCGATTTGCATGTGACCTTTCATTGCGACTGTTCTGTCTCTCATCAAGCGTGACAAATAGCCCCCAAACAAAACTTGTAGGTCATGACTTTCCCAGTCTTATATCTGAACACAAGAAAGGTTCAATTTCAGAGGACGTTTTTCTTTTTGAAATACATGTGCTCTCGCACAGAATTTATTCGAAAACGTTCATTCCAAAGCCAGTTTGTGATACTGTCACAGACAGAAAACACTTGTGACATGTGAAACCTGAGGAAGATTAAAGACGTGTTAGTTAAGCATCAGATGTGTATATGATCTGATACCGTACAATAGCCATCACATTGTTAATTCCATTCCACTGATATACCCTCCTTGACAAAAAAACATACGAGATTAGAGACACTGCGTCACCTGTTTCATATTTGGATGTATGTATAAGATTCAAACACTCTCCTCAAGACTGTATGACAAGTTTGATTAGTTCGAATGTCTTGTGGTCAACTCCCCTTTTAAATCTAATGATATATATTACAGCATCTCTAGCCTTTAGTGTTAACATCTCACAACATTCCAGGTACATTGCACATGCTCTTCCTACCAAGGTTTCAAAGAACGTCACACGAATTTTGCTTAGTTGTTTGGTGCATAGTTGATGTGCCTTTACATGTGTTGGTGGTGTGGGTCTCCTCCGTGTGGCAAAGCATGATTATCATTTCTGTAGTACAATCACTATTTGAAAGTGATTCATAAACACTGATATTAAACTCAAGTCAGTGAGATATACTAGTATTGCGTGCTTGTAAATGTTTGGTTACTTTTATTTCATAAACCGCGTATAAATATCACTCTTGTCTAACGTAAGTCAGACATGGTAGAAGGGGACTAGTCCCACCTATCCGGCAGGCTGAGGAGATTAACAGTTATGGTGTCTGCGTAGAAGGATGTTCAGCGTAAATTAGGACGTGTAGTTTTTGTTCACCAAGATAGCATCCTAGTTCAAATTTCACAGGAAAATCCTCAAACTATTACCGAAGCACACATAGAGCGTTCCTCTACCACGTTGTCCTTCTGTTTGCATATGTCAAAACGTAAGGTACAGTGGAAAGGTAAATATAGTTTTCCCCGTGTACAGTAACAAAGAGTTGAACACACAATGGAGCTCCCTATTCAATCTTCACTGTCATCTTCGGTTATATTTGCTTACGCCTCTCTTTGTTATTGTCCTATTCCCAAGGCGTGGATTTTGAAATACATTGTGGTAGTTTCGTGTTGTCAACCTGCTGCATAGAATCTTCAAATGAAGTAAACGGGCCCTATACGAACGTACGTTGTCACGGCAGGGTCTGATATACGTTATTCAAAACAATGGCGGATACTTCGCACCATTACAAACTTCATAAAGTTAATTCACGTATTTTATTATATTTTTGCATTGTAACATATAACACTTCATTCATCAATATACAAAGACATAGATTTTTTTGTAGAAATAGTATACAGAAGTATATAATCTGCTACTTAATCCGATTAAGTATGCAATATCTAAAGTACATGCTTGTCCGTTGAAGTCATGTTTTCCTTGACAGAAATTGTAAACAAAGAAAACAAAGTGTCACAGTGGTTTGAAGTAGTAAAGTGTGGCTGTCGGTTATCAGTGAACATGGGAAGAGGTATTCCGCCATTACAACGAATATCCAGAAAAACATAAACAGTGAACTCACCTTCAGTTAACGTTGATAAAGAACACAGTGTCAAAAGACCCACAAAGAAGGACATGGCCCACCTTGCCATGTTTAATAGTCCACACGGAAATATTCTGGACACCACGAAACGAAAAGTCAGTCCACACCGCGGTGTAGAGGATGGATACACTCGCCTGATCAGGCAAGCACCCGTTCAACAAGTTTCTGACTATACCACGGGACCTTTACAATACAGTCCCGATGTGCCAAACAGGTTGCTTATTGAGGGCGCGCTCTAGATCCCGAGAAGAATAGTGGGCTCTACGCTGTGGTATGTAAAGGAGGAGGGTCTGGGTGGATGGCTGGGAGCGTTGCAGGGCGTTTCGCTTGGCTCAACCTTCTTCGTGTGATCAGAAACTGCGTGAATCATAAGCATGCATTGTCGGACCTCTGCTGAAGGTTCTCGTTGTTAGTTAAAGATTTACACCTAAGCAGGACGTTGCTATATTTAGCCACAGAACCGGTTGCGCAGACAAAATGGCGCAGGGGACACCCGGGGGGTGGAAATGAAAATAACGCCATGTACGGTGAAGCGTGACGTGGCTTGATTACGCTTTGAAATGTACCTGGCGGATCAGAGATTATTACAATGCCAGTCGGCTGGATCAATAAGTACATTACTTAGAATCACTGTGTTCTGACACGTTGACAAGCAGAAGAAGCTGGACTGTTGGACGGAGGAGCTTGTTCAGACGCTGGTGCCTTTCACGTTAAATACTTCATTGAAACAAACGCTCGTCGTATGAAAACAAAACCCAGAGAAGCTTAGAGGCAATGCACCGTTTCGTGTATTACACAGATCGTAAGGAAATAAGGTTTATGTCAAAATGCACGTAATGAATAGTAATAATAATTGTTGAATAATTGATGCTGCCTATTTGAATGGATTAAATAGTACACTGTGTTCTGCCTAAGTTTTGTGGTATATGTTCGCCACGCGAGACCTGAGTATTCAGTAGACCTCCATGAAAGTGTTGTAAATTCTTGGGTGGCTTTGTCTCAGGAGTTGCGCCCCCTTGGATAATGTGATGATGATGGGTTCGAATCCCGGTTTGTCCCGATATAAGTTTGTCTGCCTCATACCCGTGCTCGTTTGTTTCTCCGCAGTTGTAAAAGTCCGAGACCTACATAAGTGGCGCTAGAACAAACTCACTATCTCCCTGATTTCCTTTCAGCAAAACTGACAAAAATCTTGCACACATTATATTAAATTACAGTTATAAACAAAGAGCATGGGAGCAAACAAATTATTCTGGATAATGAGAACATCCCGTAAATGGCACACGAAGAGTTACTTCCCTTCAATTATAAATTTTCTGAAACAGACAGAGCAAGATGAAAATTAAAATGTTATTATATTCATATACATATATATATAACGAAAAACACTCTGTATATCAGATATCAGGTGGTATATTTTGAGTGTTCATTTTTTATTTGTCAGTTAAGTTTCAGCAATATTAGCATGTGGGCCTGTAGATAATTGTTTCTGCATTGTTCAAACCAGTGAGTGAAAACAATAGTAAGCCCCAATGAAACGTAATCAACCATGTGACTGCGCATCGCTCCAGTCGACACTTACTAGAGCAAAAATGACGCTGGACTAATTGTAGACAGTCCTAACTTGATCTTACCGTGAAGCAAGGGTAGGTTACTGTTGACAGTCACGTTCCTGTGCGTAGTATTATTAACTTGGTGAGTTATTTATCTCATGTTTCCATACAGTTAAAACTATAGAAAGCCTGGTTTTTAAGACAAACATTATATAGAAAAAAAACAACTCATCTCACACATGCATTATACTTCACAAAATGATCAATAGTAAATTATCGATTGAGCTACGCCCAAAAGTAGATAAACGCTTCTAATGTTTCTAACGTAGAATTGATAAGAAATAACTTAATTTGGGCTACATGAAGATAATCTTCAAATATTTGGAGAAATAAATAGAAATTGCAATTTGAAAGGTTTCATATTTCATCCACGTCGTAGCATGGTGATGCTGAAATATGTATGAGAAAACAACCGCTCAACACATATATTGGCACGTACTTGAACGGGTGACGGTACTACTTTGACACGGAAAATATTAAATATTCGCATATTGTTTTTATTGCCAATGATATCATTAAAAATGTTCGTGGCGTCATCAGATTCAATGATATATGAAATGCTACGAAGGGAAACTACATGGAAAGTGAAAAATTGCAGTTATTTTCAACAATTTACAGTTTGGATTAAGTGATCGAAAGGTTGTCACAAATTGAAGAATGAACACTCACTTTTATATCTAATCCAACGACCTATTTTGATTTTGTCACTACACATGAAACCCATAATTCGTCGTAGTTCGAAGCACGAATCACTAAATACCCTTCGGTCACAAGGTCAAAGCCCACCCCTCTGTCTGTGAGCTGCATTTTACTTGGGTGATGGCAGACACATAACGGGGAACTCTGTGGCCATTGTTGTCCCCCAGGTCGCTGACTGGTCAGGCATACTGTATTACCTTTGTCATTGTGTTTAATGCCAGTGGTGAGGGATTTTTTTATATTCAGGATTCGGCGTGAGTAAGTATAGCCCTCTCAGAGTTTTCTCCGTACCTCCCTGCAGGCATATAAATAATTAAATTTCAAAGAAATGTAAAACTGATAGACTTACACTAGTTTATACTTTGAAATATTGCTACTAAAGCCACGGGGTTACTCACGAAAGTCGTATGTGTCTAAGTGTAGTGGGTAGGCTGGTGATCAATGTTTTCTCCCGCCTCACAGAAGGTCGGGTTTCGATTCCCTACCAAGGTACGATGTACACATATAAGTGAGAAACCCTTTTGCACATCTGGAAAAAAATCTCAACTAAAAATGACTCAATTGTACGATTTCCGCTATAATGTGATCATCCGTTTAGGAATCCCTATGAAATAGTCACGATACCAGTTGTTCGCGAAATGGTGCCCCATCTGTGGCATCCGTCATAAACACATGCAAAGGCTAGTCAATTGTTCACCATTCATGGTGTTTACCGCCCTGATACCTCTGGACTATCGCTACCAGCGGCGCATTCATCCACCGACGCCTTCTATCTAAATGGAGATGATCCCTGAAACTTTCAACAACTCTTTCAACACCGGAGCGGTTGGACTGCCTCCGTGGTGTAGTGGTTAGAGCGTCCGCCCGGAGAGTGGAAGGTCGTGGGTTCGATACCCGACCGCGTCATACCAAAAGACGTTCAAATAGGGTACTTGTTGGTCCCTTCCTGACGCTCGGCATTAATGGGTACAGCAATTACTGATCGGCTCGGAGTCAGTATAATGTGCCCGAGTGGGGTATTCATGCTTCACTGCGGCATGGTATCTCAGTGAGCTAGCACTATAAAACCAGCTTAAGTCTGGGCTAGTACAAGCAGCCACACACACGCATGCACTTCGTCATTTGTGCGAAATATTCTCAAGCACGACGTTAAACCTCACCTCGCCTCGCCTCGCCTCGCCTCGCCTCACCTCTGTCCTCATGAGAGGGTACGTAAGTCCCAAAACATTCAAGGTAAATTTAAACCTACTACTATTTTTAATCGTAGTATATATGTTATTTTAATTTGTGGCTGAAGGGATGGTGTAAATCCAGCTAGGGTCCATGCAGGAAGCAAATGTACTGTAAGTCCCCATGGTCCCTAGTATTGTGATCTACCTTCAGTTGTTGGCAATCTATAGCCTGTTTGTACATTGTCTTGTCATTTCTAGTTAACTTGTTTTAGATTTGATTACTAGTTTTAAATGGATACCAGATATACACTAGTAGTTTTACTGTTCTTCGTCGACAGGCTTTTATTTTTAATTTCTCTGATCTATAATAAAATTATTAATTGTTCTCGTCACGATATGGCTGAAATATTGCCGATGTGACGATAGAGCCCACCTCACCCGAGTGGTTGGGTAGCCGAATGGTCAAAGCATTCGAGTTCTAATCCTCACATTGGTACCACATGAAGACCATATCTGGTGTTTCAATCGTGCTGTTGCGATGTAATGGCTAAAAGCGTCATAAAATACCACTCACACGTAACGCTGCAGCCTCGCTCGGGTTCATAATGCTGCAAGATATTACAGGGTGTAGGGGTTATCGTGTTGTGAAATCTATCCTTTGAGTAATGTACGCCCATTGTTCGGTTGTTTTGCCTGTCTGCGCAAGGAATCAGACAAGGAAACCGTATCCCAGTGAACTGCAGCTGATATGACGTCATGACTTGTTCGGTCGATATATCAGTCCGTAAATGACACAAACCAACAACAAAGAAATGTATTGTAATTAACAACTGTATTCTAAAATTAAGTGAGATCACAAATGAATACAGACCAGTACAATGGTTTTAATATGGCAGTACAAAATTGTGTGACAGTACATATATAACAATGGCAGTATAATACCAGAGCAGTAATTACAGTAATAAAGACAATGGTTTAATATTCACTACAGTAATCCAACAAAATAAGGCCAGCAGAGTTCCAGAGTGTTATGATCATCATATACAACACTGGTCTTGTTGTGGCTTGACATGTAATTTGATAGGTTAACTCCCCTTAACACCAAAGCAGAAGTCCTGAAATTTCCTTACAGTTCCCAGTGTTCCCGAAGCTGCCTGTAAGGTTGGAGCACAAGTCAGAATACAGCACACCACTGCCCCTCACCGTATACAATGTATTACAACTGAGCACGACACATAGCGCTCATGAGAATATTTTTATCGATAACGTTGAGAAATCTACTGCTTGTCAGCTTGCCCTACGTGATCATATATAGAAACATTTTACAAAGTGTTCCAGAAATAATCGTAGTGGTCGTGAAGAATAATGTTTGCAGGGAAACATCTACTTTGAGCTTTCGTTTTAGAGAAACGCATAAATGTGAATGAAAATTAACAGAATACGAAATGGCACTGAATATATTGATCGATGCCCTTTAACCTTCACACTGTCACCTGGTGTGAGGTGACGAATAATGGAGTTTAGCTTCGCGTTCAAACACCTACAAAGAAATGTCCATTCATGTGTTTGTGCGTCTTTGTACTCGTCCTGGCTATCTCGCTGGCTGACAGAGATACAATACTATGAATGCAAATATCAGATTCACTTCACCCTACTTTTTTATTGATTTGTTGTAAATCTAAATGTTGGTTTCGTACTTGACGATTCAGATCATTACAATTTTGCTATTATATCGTTTTGTTATTTACACCCGTACATACAGGTAAATCTAATAAGAAATGATAAGTTTACCATCAGTGCTAATACGAAATGTAACAATTTACCATGTCTGTAAGGTTTGAAATGATATACATACAACAGATGGATAGATGGAGACATTAATATCTGTTACAGAGCAGTGAGAT